AGAATGATTTCTGAAGGATCATGTGACACTGAAGACTTGTGTAATGATGCTGAAAATTCAGCTTTGATCACAGGAATTGCTAAATTACTATTATTTTAAAATAATAATATTAAAATATTCAAAATAACATTAAAATAGAAAACAGCTATTGTGAACTGTAATATTTCAAAATTGTTACTGTATTTCTGATCAAATAAATGCAGCTTTGGTGGGTAAAAGAGACTTTTGTTTCCATTAACATTAAAAAAATCTTACCAAACTTTTGAAAGGTAGCATATATATATATATATACTGTATATATATATATATATAAATAAGTTTATATCATAATTATTCAATTAGTCAATGCATTTACTGCATGCGTTGTGAAGGACTCTGTGTTCTTTAAATGTTACTTTGAATGTTCATTTATTTTTTGTGAATGTAGAATCAGTGGTGTGAACATAGTGTCCATTTAATGTAAGGTAGTTGTATCCTCTAGTGTCCTAAACAGGTGGTTGTGAGATTCTTTGTTTTTATTTATGTTGTGTGACACTGAGAAGCTCCGCCCACAGTGAAAACTCTCTCCACATAGCTGAATATTAAATGTTAAACTGATGTGTGAACTGCTTTGGTTGATTTATTGAATAGAACTCAAATGATTCACTCACAAATCTTGCCAACAGGTTTTACTCTTCAGAATCAGTATCTTTCCAATGAAATGGTTTAGAACAGAGCGTAACTACAACAATGTGTATTCTAGAATAGAAATGTTCTTGACTTTTCCATGACATTGAAGATTTATTAACTTGCGTGCTTTTCCAGGCCTGGAAAACACATCAAATTCCCTGAAATTTCCAGGTTTTACATCACTGGAAACCATGATACTAAGTGTAAACCTTAGTTCATCTCAGCTGAAAAAGAGGAAGAAACACGGCACATCAATGGAACAAGAGCTCACATTCAGTTCAGATTACTGTCAAAGATAAAACAACAGTGAAATTCAGGCCAGGAAAAGACTGAAGAAATACTGTAAATAGACATCATCATGACTCAATATTGTATCAGAGATCCGTAGTAGTGTAAAAACAGACTTAAAAAACATATTAGACTTTCATGATAGCACACAACCATAAAACCCATCCATTTAAAATACGACTCCACTTGTAAACTCATCTTTGTATTTTTATCCACAGAATCATTGACAATTACTTTGTACCATTAATATTAGTCCACGCACCTTGAATAAATACAATTAACCATGGAGTCACCACTAAGTAAACTGTTTAAGAAATAATTGCAATTCAGGAGCCCTATATGCGTGCAGTCACGTCTTTCTGCTCGGTCACAGCCGATCTTTCTAACACAGCTCCATCATTTGCTCCAGAGAGAGCTGGAGCTCCACTGATTGCAGTGAAGACGCCCCGTTTGCAACAGCCATCATCTTCAAACCCTCCAGTGAAGTCAGAATAACCTAAACAAATGAGAAAGAGAGAGAGTGAATGGGAAAGTAAAAAAAAAAAAAATCATGATACATATATTTTTTTTTATTTTATGAACTCTGATAAAAACACACTCTTGGTGCCTTTAAGAAATCATTAAAGGGGTCATATGATGCAATTTCAAATGTTCCTTTTTCTTTGGAGTGCTACAAGCTGTTCGTGCATAGATAAAATCCCTAAAGTTGCAAAGACTAAAGTCTCAAACCCAAAGAGATATTCTTTATAAAAGTTAAGCCTTGCCCACACCCTCCTAAATCGCCTCGTTTAAACACGCCCCCACATATCTACGTCACGATGTGGGAAGATTTGCATAACGCCGACCAAATGTTCACGCAAAGAAAGAAGGCGTAACTTTTATTCTCGCTGTAGTATTGTTGTTGCCGCCATGTCGTGAAAGCGCTGTGTATGTCGTTGTGAAAGCGAAACTACTTTGTTTGGCCTTCCAAAAGAGGACGATATCCGCTTCGTCATGCCTAGAGCTGATCCGTGCTCACAAGCCCGCCAGCCTCCGCTCACGGTACACAGCATCGCAGTATGGTAAGGGGCGTAACATTTCTGTCACATGCTTGAGGTATTCGGCCAATCACAATGCACTGGATAGCTGGCCAATCAGAGCACACCTCGCTTTTCAGACCGATGAGCTTTGTAAAAATCGACGCGTTTCAGAAAGGCGGGGCATAGAGGAGAAACAATAATGTACAGTATGTGGAAAATAATGTGTTTTTTTAACCTTAAACCGCATAAACACATTTCATTACACCAAATACACAAAATAATGTTCTTTTTAGCAACATCATATGACCCCTTTAATACAAATGAAGCAATAAGCCACAAAAGAAATGACATTACAGTGATTCTATAGGTAAGGTGTGATCCTAACCACAATAGGAAGCAGAATGCCTCACTGTGATGCATGGTAAGTGTTAGTGTTTGTTGCATGTATAAAATCGAGATAACGGAAATATGATGAAAGACAACAATGTTCATTAAAGAGTCAAATTTCTTAACCCTGTAAAGCCTGACATATGGAATAATAGTTAGAAAAAATATATTTTTTTCAGTGGAACAGATTTATGGACTTTTCAACAAAATATTTAATAAAAAAAATTTTTTTTCTTTCTTTCTTTTTTAATTGAGCATCATATTTGATACATCAAGCTTTTATGGCCCATAGAGTATGATACAGTAAAAATATGACAAATATTCATAAATGAGGAGGGAAAACACCTCAATATTAACTATAGCCCCAAACTGAACAGAATATGCAATTTGGTGCAGATGTTGTTATTTACATGCTTAAAAAGTAAGATGAAATTGTAATAGCCTGTAATGTAAATCAAAGAGATTTTTTTTTAACAGTATAAATGCATAAACATTAAATGTATATAAATCAGTTGTCACTCTACATGTCCTAGTAATATGTTTTAGTAAGATGCTACTAAGTTTTATGATCGAAGCTCTGTAATTTTTATTGTGGGGGCAAAACATTTAATGCAACAATTTTACAATTATACTAAAAGGCCTTTTACTTGCTATAAAAGTACAAACTATCAATCAGACAACAGAAGGCATATAGTAGATGGTGTACAACAGGATTTTCAGCAAAACTGACCATGTTGATCATTTAGAGGCCTTAGAAATTTGTGTATGAAATATGATACAGTAGGCTTTATAGGGTAAATATTAACCTAAAGTCCTATCCTAACCTCTATCATGATGAGTTTCTTCTCCCACGGCTTCATTTTGGGGTCGGGCCACTTCTCTCCCAGAAAGAAGTAAAGAGCGTAAGAAGGAGATTCGCAGCTTGTCTGAATAAAGTCCATCAAACCTAAAGGAATGACATCATCAGACATCCAGCACACGTTCCAAGTGACCAGTCTAACATATAAGAATCAACGAAATATTTGCAAGCACCAACGATCGACCATATCTGAGCAAATACACAATTTAATTTAGTTTTTAATGTATTTAAAATTAAATTTTATTTATGAAAAAAACTGTTTAATCATGCTACCTGACTCATGTGTAAATTCCATAAGGCATTTTCCTACTGTTTTCTTATTTTTGTTCATATATGGAAAAAAATAAGTTGGAAATGGAAATGTAATCGTAATACTATGTAATGTGTATTACGTGTGTATTTATGTGTATAATGTAATACTTAATATGCCACTTTTTGTAATGTCTATTCAATGATGTACGCATCTGCCACATTTAATCTTGTCTTTTTTAGCAAATATTGTAATTAATCTTATTAACTCACCTGATATATAATCTCTGAAGTTGTAGACGGCTTCAGGTGTGTTTTTGGAGAGCTCTCTGGGTGTTTGGCTATTTTCATGTTTGCATAGACCCCAATAGATCCTGCTCAATCCCCAACGGTGACCACAGACCACGCCATCAAATCTCCTGATCTCCAGACCACCCAGATTATTCAGAATTTCGTTCGTATGCTTGGCCTGGATCTGATCCAGAATATCTTCAGGAATAGGTAGTGTGACCACTGGTAGATCAGCACTGCCCATGGATTCGTCCCTGTGGGAGTTAAAGGTATACTGTTAAGTTTTCATCTGTATGATCCATGGTGCTAACTTAAAGATCAGTGATGAATCAAGTACAAAAATACCAACATGTTTCCCTGATACATCAGTCTGAAACCAGCATCATTCTCCACCAACTCTTCCTTCACAATCTTCCCTTTGTAATGAACCTTAATCCGAAAAAATGTCTCTGTGAAGAAAACGTATGAATTGAAAAAATCTGTGAGTAATCAAACATCAGTAATTGATGTGAATATGTGTTGATTTTGAGAGCCACTTACCCAGTTTTGTCGCAGGAATGCTACCCTGATGACCTACACCTTCACCATCTGGTTGATATGCTGGAGGATGATGACCCGCAGCCGTCGCCCCCTCAGATGGCGGAATCTGCCCCAAACCACCGATAGCGCCCTCAGCTGAAGAAAATTGTCCATGAGTGTCCACTATTTGGTAATGGATCTCAGTATACTGGGATTCTGGACATGGACTGGTTTCTTGGAAGAGTACTGGTTCTTCGAGCCCCAGATATAACTGATCTGGATTCCAAACTTCATGAACTGGAACAAAAATGAAAGGCTGTACACATACACAATGCACTGTCCTTCAAATTATTATATACTGTATATGCTCACCCATGCTGTATTTATTACATAAATTAAAAACATCAACATTCTGAAATATTATTGCAATTTAAAAGAACTGTTATCCATTTGAAAATATTTTAAAATGTAATTTATTTCTGTGATGCAGAGCTGAATTTTCAGCATCATTACTTCAGTGTCACATGATCCTTCTAATATGCTGATTTGCTGCTCAGGAATTGACATTTCTTATATAACATTTATTTTTGCTGATTAATATTTTTGTGGAAAGCGTGATACACTATCATTAAAAAGTTTGGTGTAAATACAAAAAAAATTAAAAATACTTTAGATTCTTTAATAACTAATTACTTTTCAGCAAGTATGCATTTATTTACTCAAAAGTGACAGTAAAGACATTTTTAATGTTACAATATATTTCTATTTCAAATAAATGCTGTTCTTTTGAACTTTCTATTCATCAAAGAATCCTAAAAAATGTATTTCGGTTTCCACTAAATTATTAAGCAGCACAACTGTTTTCAACATTGATAATAATAGGAATAAGTAAGCACAAAATCAGAAAATCAGAAAAGCACAAATTTAGAATGATTTCTGAAGGATCATGTGACACTGAAGACTGAAGTAATGATGCTGAAAATTCAGCTTTGATCACAGGAATAAATTACATTTTTACATATATTCACACGGAAAACAGTTCTTTTAAATTGTAATATTTCATAATATTACTGTGTTTTACTCAAATAAATGCAGCCTTGGTGAGCAAAAGAGACTTTTTTATATTCCAAACTTGTGACAGATAGTGTATACATATAATAATAAAATGGCCATCTTTCCAGGATAGATAGGTATATACGATAAAATAATTATTTTTTCATCATAATATAATAACAGTCCCATATAAAACATTATCCAACCATACAGAGACCAAGGGCAACTTAAAATAAAGGTAATTAAATCATAGAGTTAATCCATCATCTTTTCTGGTATTTTCAATCTACCTCGTGAGGGACTTTCCTGAAGGTTTAGTCCTGTGAAATCTTGCTCCAAACCTTGGGGTGGATGTGCTAAGAAATATAAAAGTAAAACATACTGTCATCACAATGAAAGGCCTACCTCACAAATATATAAAAAAATGCATGGCTGGGTATAAAATGCTGTCTTACTAGGGAACATGTCGCTCTCCTCCACATACAGTTCTGGTGAAAACTAAAAATGAAGAAAAGAAAAGAAGAAAAAAAACAATTCCCAAGTCAGTCTGTGTATGTCGTATCTGATGCCACAGGCTGTCCATTTGAGAGTGCTTTAAAGAAAAACCAGACAAACACAGATTAAACCTGATGAAACAGATACGCACATCAGTCTCTTGAGAGCCCTCGGATCCTGAAGCTGGAGAGGAGACAAAACAAATATCAGATTTAACAGTTCAATCAATCTTCTTAATGGCATCAACCACAAATGTAATGCTTCCTACCCGCAGAATGAGGTTCAGATGGAAACTGATAGACTTTATGTGGATTAGCGGCATCGTTCTTGCTGTCAAATATAATCTTGAAGCCTTTAGCACGAAGAGCGCTACGGAAGTTTCTCTTCCAAACAGGGGGATCTCCGTTTATCCTGCCATCTCCAGCGACGCTCGTCTGAGCCCACGCCTGACGGGGACAAAATACAGTTATCAGAAGAAAAGTACTCCATGTCTGCTCTGACGGTAATACCATGCTTATATACTATGGTACTGAATGATTTATATTGATATAGGTATTTACCTGATACTCCAAGGTACTTAAAAAAAAACTTACATTAAATGTAATATGTGGTGTTGCTTGGTTGTAATAAATATAAATGTATAAATGCTGATTGTAATGGAAGTGTAGTAAATTATAAGGTATTATCAATAATATACTAAATATACAATTGAATTACCAATAGTAGTTTCATTAGTACCTTGGGGTACTTGAAATAATTTTATAATACTTTTTTTTTT